CAGTCTTGCCCCTACAAACTTTGAAGTGACTCTGCAAAGACACAGAGCTTCTCTAGCTCGATGTCCCCTGACCTGTAACATTTATACCTCCTTAAACATTGTGAAGACGAACTGGGGCACTGTATGTAAAGGACTTAGCACAAGGTCTAGCAAGCAGCAAGGACTCAATCAGGAGCAGTTAATTCTGGTTTTGTCCTATTGAAAATGATAACAAAAATAATGTTAAATGAAATGGTGCAAATTTGCTCCCTGTGTCTTGAGGAGGTGATCAGTTATTCTAACTAGAAGCATTCCCAATGAGCATAATTCCTATGGTAGTTTGTTTAAAAAGTAAACCATCAACAAAAAATTAATTCCCAGTTGAAAATTCTCAAGTAGGAGAGGGGTGAGTTAAACTGCTGCCAAAATGAACAGCTGTTCCTCAGAGAAGCTACAAAATTTTGAAACCTTCTCCTTGGTCTACATGGCTTGAGGCAGCACTTGAACAGATGTTGCTTCTTTAGCTGTTGTAACAAGGCTAGAATGGGACGGGGGATGGGGTGGGGTGGGAGGGAACCAGAAGAGCTGTAGCTATACATATTGGTTATGAGATCCAAATAACACTGACAAGAAATTTTATGAATTAATCAAAGGTATAAAGAGCTTTGAATAAATAGCTAGCCTCTATTTGCTTTAGTTTAAATTCAGAGATAATTCTAAAGTATAAATATTTTTTGATAAATAACATACTAATTTACTAGTATAATAAATTATACTGACAAGAAAAATGACCACTTTTTTTATTTGGGGGGAGGGTATATATGTGGTTAGGTTTCAAGACAGCCGTGTTTTAAATTATAACAGCCATACTGTTATAAAACAGGTGTTAGCCCTACATAGTACAGACTCTAAAAGCAGAAATCCTGGGTTAGCAACTTAGCTCTTTGCCAACTGTGTGATAATGGGCAATTCAGGATCTCTCTATGCCTTAGTTTCTTCACCTGCAAGGTGGTAATAACTACAATACACAGTCTATCTGGTGGTGGTTGTACCGATTAAATGAATAAACAGAATGCCTAACACATGGTTGGCACTGTATGTGTTAGCTATTAAAGCATGTTATCCCTTGATCACGTTACTCAATACATTTATCTATTACATGCCATGAATTGCACTAGAGACTCAAAGGAAGACAGACAGACACAGATCTTACAGAAGGAACCAAACTCTGAGCAGAAATCAGAAGGGTGGGTATAATAATTTAGCCAGGCAAAGCATAGATGTAGTTTTCCTGCTGGCACAGGAAAACTGTGGAGTGCATTGAACTTAAGAGAAAATGGTTGATGGAAAACTGCCATTGTTGAAGGTAGGCGTGAAGTGAGGACAGTGTTTCCGACCTCCTATATGTAATACAGAATAGACCTTCACCTGATGGTCAAACTTTCTTATTTGCAACTAGGAATGCACATACATGACAGTGATAAAGTAACACTGGAAACATTTTAACAGCCTTTTTTCAAAAAAAGAAAACATATATCTGTGCCTATTGTATTAATGTGATTTTCCAGAATGCAGCCTTAACATGTTAAAATTCTACCTCTGAAGCTCTAGACTTAATATTTCCATACGACTCACTCAAGTAAACCTGGTTTCCAAAATTGAATAATACAAAATTAAATAGCAACCTGGGAGATCAGGAGATTCTGACAAAATAAGAAATTTATTTCTCAATAGTTTTGGCCAACATTAACACTGCAGACTTTTTTAAGTAAATATATTTTATCTAAAACTCAAGCAAGATAACAATATTTACCACAAAAAAATAGAAGGAAACAATAAAATATTGTGTGAAATCTCACTACCTTGATATAATCACTTTTCTTCCAGTCTTATGCTTACTTTTCTTCTATAGAAAATTTCTCCTCTGGGAACCAGCAGTTAGTGTAATGGCTATGTCGCTGGACTCCCACGTAGTCGACCGCGGTTCGCATCCCGGACCCAGTGGCTTAAAACTCACGCAGGGCGCGTGTGCGTGCGTGCCCAAGATCCCGAGAGGAGAATGGAGGAGAAGGGATTGAGGTGTGGCCATCCCCCCTGGGGGGTGATTTCTCGCTTTCTGTCTCTATGTCTCTCTCTGTTTGGCGAGCGCACGCACCCTATAGCGAAAATCTCTCCAAAAAAAAAAAAAAATGAAAATTTCTCCTCTGAATTATATTTTTAGAAGTTTTTATATTTAGCTCTGACAATGTTAATATAGAGCAGGATGTGTATGAATGTGTGACTGCGGCTATTTTCAGGCTCATGTGAATCTGCAACAGACAACGTACAGCTGTCACTCTGTTGCCCACTTTTTTGAACCCATCTTTCCACTTACCACCTTCTCCACCACTACATGGTATATAAAATATCCAGATACCTAAAGAATGACCAAAGCCATCTATTCCTTTTGGCTCTCAGGAGGATTTGGAATTACATATGGTTTCAAATCCCTACTCAATCATTTACAAAAATATGACCTCCGTCTCATTAGTAAACAGTCCCAATGTCAGTATTCTTATTTGTAAAATGGAACACAACTATGTAATATGAAAGGCAGCATGACAGTATTTAAGAGGGCAGGCTCTGGAACATGACATGTGTCATCAGATTCTAGTTCTATGATATTGCAGTAGTGTGGTATGTTCCATCTCTACCTCAGTTCCTAAATCTGCCACAGAAAGATCTAACAGTGAAAAGGTAACAGAATTATTGTGAGGATTGACTGAGAAAATACATCTAAGGCATTTAGAAGAACACTTGGTTCATAGAAATACTCAATATGGGGACCAGCAGTTGAAGTAATAGACTAAGTCACTGGACTCCAGTGTAGTCGACCACGGTTCAAATCCCAGACCCAGTGGCTTAAACTCATGCTAAGTGCATGTGCATGCATGCCCAAGATCCCGAGAAGATAATGGAGGCGAAGGGACTGCAGTGTGGCCATTGCCCTGGGTAGTGATTTCTCACTTTCTGTCTCTCTATTTCTCTCTGTTTTTCTGGCGAGTGCACACACCCCAAAGCAAAAACTTCCCCCCGACCAAAAAAAAAAAAAAAAAAACAAAAACAAAAAAGAAATACTCAATATGTGAAGGGTATTATTATTTTACATGCCCATTTTATATTTTATACATAATTGTAGTGGGGTCTTCAAAATCACGTGAGGTTTGATGATATACTGAAAGAATCCAAAGAATTTAGAAAAAGAACTTACCATTACAGTTTATTACAACAAAAGAATACATTGAAATCATTAAAGAAAAAGTACGAAGTGCAGAGAAAAGGAGTGGGTAGGTACAAGTACTCCTAGAGGCTCATTATCTCAACAACATGACAACATGCACAAAGTATTGCCAACCAGGGAAGCTCATCTGAGAGCGTGGTGTTAAGGATTTTGACTAGGGGTCAGTCACTTAGGTGTAAATTGCCTACATGTTCTTAACCACTTCGTCTCCAGCCTCCCAAGAGTCAAACTGACAGTGTGGCCTGTAAACAAAAATAGGTGGTCACCATAGACCACACTGTTAGCAAATCTCTCTAGGCTGGGCCCAAGATCCCAGGTTTATAAAGATACTTTTATCAGGCAGGATATGTCCATAATGTAAAGATGATCTTTTAGGACCCAGTCTAGGGGCAATACTTTCTTCAGAATGAGAAGGGTTTGAGTGACCCAAGCCTGCTAAATTCAACCATGGTGCATAAAAATTTATTGAGCAACACTATGTGCCAGGAGCTATGATAAACATTTAATAAATGTTATTTCATTTAATACTTGAACTCTCTCAGGAGAAAGTAATTAGCATTCTTTTTTGTTTTTAAATCAAATACATCAACTGAGGCTCAGGAAGATAAAACAAGTGTTCGTAGCCACATAAATAGCATGGAATCTGAATGAGTTTTCATACTGCAAAGCCTTTGCTACTCCGAGTAATCCATGCTGCCTCATAAAGTATGGTAAAATTTAAAATGTTACACAGTACATGATATGTATAGGTACATCCTAAATATATTTGCTAACCAAATTCATTTCTGGTAGTGAAAAAATAATCAATTTAAATTTGTGAAAAAAATAAACTAGAGCTTTGAGCAAAATTATAATAGACTTTTTCCTTTAAAATAGTGGGTTTTATTAAAAAGCCTATCTAGTCATAACCAAGTAATTATAACCAATATATTCAGCATAAAGTTTTCCGGAGGTTACAAAGAACCAGCTTTTTACATTTCACATTTTTCTTTACACCTTAAAACTTTTTAGTCCCCACAAACATTTGCTAAAATACAGAAATGACTTACCCATCTATTAAGAATAACATAATTTTTCCTTGTAGAAATGTATCACCAGTTTCCCTAGGGAGGCAATAATGCCTTCTCACTTTAATACATGTGTGGTTTTTTTCCCATCTAATCAGCTAATACTTTGCAAAAGATTTTTAATGCCTAAATGAAAGGATTCTACATCAAAGACCTGACCTCCCTATTAAAGTATCTAAAGGAAACCCTGAGAATGTAAAATCTATTCAAAGGCAAATCACAGGTAGCTCATTGTACAATGCATTAAGAAAAGAAAAGGGAAAAAAAAAAGCTTCATAAGAGCTGCATGAAATTTGGTAAAATTATACCACAAAAATACAAATTGATCCTCACTGTAAAGAAACAAATTCATAGCCAAAAACCTATTATGAAGGACTCTGTAATCAACCAGGAGGGGAGTATTTATGAACTTCAGAATTTTTCACTATTTCAATCAAAATTTCTGATTACAGCTTACTGTCAGAAAGGGAAAAAAAAAAGAAAGAAAGAAAGAAAGAAAGAAAGAAAGAAAGAAAGAGCAAACCATACATTTTCCAATAGATTTAAAAATCTGACAATTTTAAAACTAACTTTCAACATCAGGAAACCAGAGTAGAATGAAGTAACTAAACAAAATGGATGAGATGCTACAGAGAAAAATACTTTTAAGAAAACAACTTAAATTTTTATCATACCATGAATGTGGTTCTGAAGTTATTCAAGTCAGTAAAAAGGTCTTCCACGGACACCTTCTTCACATCAATGGCATAGTATCCCATTATACTTTGGTATAACTTTTCCATGTTTTCATGTAACTTTGAAAGTTTCTCATATTGTTCTTTTGCATTGGTAACAAAGCTGTATATTACAGTTAAGGTGTTTTGAAATTTACAAAATAATACTTTAAAAAAAAACTTCGTTAATCTAATGTTTCAGTCTAATCATGAGTTGCTACTAGTATACTGCCAAAATTTCAAAATTTCATCTAATAGCTTAACCATTTTTAGAAATCAGTCCCGACTTTACAGCAATAAAATCTTAAATTCAATTTCTAATTAACTTTGGCAAAAAACATTAGAGGACAAAAATATTTATACACTTAATATTTCTCTTTAAAAAATAAATTCAAGATAAATTTTATTCCAGTTTATCATATTAATAATGTATAATGCAGATCATGCCATAATATTTAAAATTATATTCAATAGTTGCATTTGATTAGTTGCAATGATAATGAAATCAACAACAGAGGCATTTAGCATATTGGTTAGGTTGGAATACTTGGAGCTCATTTCTAGCTCCTAAACTTGGTGCCCAAGATCCTGAGAGGAGAATGGAGGAGCTTGCCTACTGTCAAGTGCTTTTAGATCTCTATGCCTTGATGTCCTCTTCTGTAAATTGAGAATGATAATAGAGACAATCTCAGGGCTGTTTCAAAGACTGAGTTAATACATCCAAAGTTCATAGAAAAGTATCTAGGTATTTACATATAAATAGTTGTCATTATTATTCACCTCATTCACTTTAAGGTTCTAAAAGAAAACAAACTTTGAAGTATTAAACTTACCTTATATAAACAAATTAATCTTTTAACATCTCTTCTAAAAACCTGGCACACAATTTTTGCTGTGCATTACATGATTAAAAATAAGTACACACACAGGCGCACACACAAAGAAATGCTCTTTTCTCACTTATTTATGACATAGTTAAAAGCATACTGAAAGTGAGAAAGAAATGGGAATGTGACAGCCGCTAGTTTTAGAAACATTTTCTAGACAAACCATAGAATTCCCTTTATTGTGTAACAAATCCCTGATGCAGTCAGATAGAAAATCACCATGCCACATTTGGAAAAGATAACTCTTTTAGAGCATCCGTTATAATTGCCTGTGGTTCCTTTAAACGGAAACGTTTAAAGAAACAGAACAGAGTTCAACTTACAGAAGTCTTTGACTAATGCAAAAGTATGAGCAGACATGAGCAAAATTTAAAACAAGCCAACAAATCAAAAAGCTTGAAGTAAGGCCAAGAGAAAGAAAACAAAAATAAAATGTTTATCTCTAAAAAGAAAATTTTCCTACAATTTCTAAAAGATACAGTTGTTTTGGTCAGAGTTTGCCAGTAGAAAATGAAATATGGAAAATGAGGCAGGCCCTTCAGTTTGAGGAAGAGAATGAAGGACCAAGGAAAAATGCACTGTAGTCAGGGATAGGGAATCCAGAACCCAGGAAAGAATTCTAATAATTAGACCCAACTTCACCACAAATAAATGAAGCATTCAAGTCGATCATAGCTCACTTGTACCAGTGTCCATAGTCAGTTCACAGATTATATATTGCCCTTCTGTGCCTGTTTCTTTTCTATAATACTATGCCCTGCTTAGTGTCTCAGAAAAAAACAGCCTGGAAGGCAGAGAATCTGGATTCTAGTAAGAGTTCATCTTTTTAATGACCTTAAGAAAACTTACAGATCAGTATGAGGCGAAGTTTACTGAAGAGCAAAACATCTCTTTTGCTATGTTTAGGTCTTTGCCGTAGTGACAGAGAGACAGAAAGTGAGAAATCATTCCCTTAGGGAGTATGGTCATGCCACAACCCTTCTTTTCCATTCTCCATTTGGGATTTGCAGCACACACGCACGCTTGCCTGGGGTGATTTTCAAGCCTTAGGTACAGGTCTCAAACTGTGGTCAAACATGTAAGAATTCAGTGCCTTAACCACCACACCACCTGCTAACTCCACAAAATGCCTCTTTAAGCTTTCTAGAATTTAGGTATCAATAGTGATAGTGACTGATATATTTACATATGATATCATTTTGTAATTTTTAGAAGAATAACAGAAAAATTTTGTATAATTACTCCAATGGCAAAAATCACAAGAAATCATAATATTACAGGAGAGTCACACATGACAGGTTCCCATATACTTTATGAATATTCATGAAATGTTATAGGTAAACTGAATTTATGTAAATAAAAATCACATCTGAAATGCATTCAGAAACTATCATTAAATGGAGCATATAGTGATTCATTTGTAATGTGAAACTAGCACTTAGAAATAATTATTCAGAAATCAACATCAATTTATAAATTGGTTGACCTATTCAGTCTATAAACTCTCACCTATTTGTGTCCCACACAGAGAAAATATCCTCATGGATTATTTGTATAATCTTAACTCTTATCTAAAAGAGATACTGTCTTCTACAGTTGCTTGTCCAAATCCATCATTCAAAGATTCATCAATCCTTCCTATTCCATGAAGCCTTCTCTAATCTACACAGTTACAAGTAACCATTTGTCTCCGGGAAGCATACTATTTGTAGTCTGTTGTACTCATCTAGAAATTCACCAAGTATGGGACCAGCAGGTGGTATAATGGTTACATTGCTGGATTCCCACCTAGTTGACCACAGTTCGAGTCCGGATCCGGCGGCTAACAACTCACATTGGGTGCATGGGCACGCATGCCTAAGATCCTGAGAGGAGAATGGAGGAGAAGGGATTGTGACGTAGCCATCCCCCTGGGGGAGTTATTTCTTGCTTTCTGTCTCTCTGTCTATCTCAATCTCTCTGGCAAGTGCACACACCCTATAGCAAAAATCTCTCATAAAAAAAAGAAAAAAGAAATTCACCAGGTCTACTCTTATTCCTGTATTTCTAGTTTAATTCCTTAGTAGTGCTTTGTTCTTGCCATATCTCTGAAAAGGCTGGTCACCTCTTACTGTCAGGCTATTTTCTACATGCCATGTTCCACCTTCTTAGCTCTATTAAATCTAATCACCTGCAACTACATTGATGCCAATTACTTATCTCACCCAAGTGCCATCATTCTTAATCTTCGGTGGGAAGGGTAACAGGTGTTTTCAAAAGTTTGATGACCATCATGGAACTATTCATAAAATAGCACATATGCATGCACATGTATACACAAAATATTTGAATATAATATTAAGAACAAACAGAGTCCCTGACAAGCATTTATCCTGGAAATTAGGTTGAAGACATTATTTTGGTGGTGGGTATCTCAGTAGCTGCCATTGTGCTAAATGTTTAACTCCAAATAAAAATAATGTCTGTGTTTGTAGTAGTTAGACTATATTTTTTTCTCAACATAAAGTTCTATATTTGTAAAAATTTTTAGAGAAGTATGTCAGATATTTCTCAACAAAATGAACATTTGATAAAATTCATTACAAAAATAATGATATGTATCACTTGATGTTGTAAGGAATATATTTTCTGTGCTTTATCCAAGACTAAGACCAAATTCTCAAGAATTCCTACTTGAGTCACTATAGTCTTCCTATCTGAAAAATGTATTAACAACCTGATCTATATTCACATATATTCAATTGTAAGTATTTAGTAGTGACTAAGCAACAGAGTAAAACTTGGAATTCTCTTAGTCTGCCACTCTTGTTCATTCCCAAACCACCTACTACAAATACAATTCACATTTATTCTTAGGTCATAGCCTCCTTACTGCACTTCTATGATCAAGGAAGCCCATTACATATATTAACATGCCTCACAAGAATCACCTTCAATCAGTCCTGCATTTCTAATACCTTTGACAGATCTTTAAGTACCCAGGATTCAGTCAGTCATTCAATAAGTATTCAATGAGTCCTACTGTATTCTAGGTATTCTTCTTGGTACCAGGAAAAATAGTACTTAACAAGACAGGCAAAGTCCTTGCTGTCATGAAACATATTCTAGAATATGAAGAAAGATAATGAATGAGATTTTCACATAGGAATAAATATGAAGAAAATAATTTTTTTTTTTTATGTTATACAGAGTGGCAGAGGCTAATATCGCTTAGTTAGTTAGGCAAGTACTGTCTAAGAAGGTGAGATTGAGTAAAATAACTGAGACATGATTATTAAGGACCAGTGATCATTAATTTGTATAGCACTCTCTTATGAGTTTAGAGAAGGAAAAGACTATTACAAATGTAAGGATTCATAGAGGATAAAAAAACAGGATCTTTCACGAAAGTCTTAAAAGCTTGTTAGCTATAGTCTAAGAGAGTGAGAAAAGAAAGGAAGAACAGAAAAGAGGAGACAGAATACTAACTCAAGAGAAGAAAAATCTGCTACAATAAGTTACCGAATTACCCAAACACTTCCCACTCTTGACATGGGACACGGTATTACACTAGTTTATATTTTACCCATTTCAATCTTCAGTTTTATTTCCTAACTATTATTCAACTGAAGAATACAATGTATTGAATTCCTTTATGGATAAAATAGATTATAGATGTCTTTTGTCTCAATGAATTTTGTGATGACTTTAATATCCACCCAGTAATTTCCAAAGTGCCTAAAATACTGCTGCATAGTAAAATGGCAAAAAAAAAAGAAAAGTGTGAAAATAATAATGAAGAAATGTGAAGAATATGGGAAAGA